TTACCCTTTGTATGAGGGGTGTGTGTGTGTGTGTGTGTGTGTGTGTGAACCTCCCTAGCACATGGGAGCAGAGGGTCACTCCTTTCCGTTGGATCTGACACATTCTTGCAATACATTTTCACTTAAACACATGAAAGTTTGCAGGGGACCACCGAGGCCTCCGGGGAGCGGTGGTCAACGAAGACCTTCCCGGAAAGCCTGTGAAAACGTACCTGCTTTTGCCACCTTCATTGCATCTGGGGCGGTCGTGCCAGCTGGTGGATGAGGAGTGGAAAGACAACGAGGACGAGGACAACGACGACGAACTTTTCATATGCACACCACAAGCATACCTGCGCAACTTTCGGCAGCCCCCTGTGGTGCCAAGATTAGCTCAAGGACAGGCCCCCTGTGGTGTCCAGATTAGACAACAACATACAACATACTCTCCTCTTCTTGCTCTCTTGGCCGAATCCATCAGTGTGACCAGCGTGGGTCTTGAGACTCCAGAGCAACGGCTTTCCGTCATGGCGCCGTGGTGACCCTCCGGGGAGACCGGTGATGAACCGGGTGTTCAGCCTTCGTTCAGACTGTTCAGAATCTCCCGATGCTACTTTATCTCTCTCTCTCTGATGCCGGCATGTGAGTCTGACATGAGTGCAGGTGCAGTAATGGACGGCTAATGCAGTAAAGTGCGTCTAGTGAGCAGGTGCTACCTCGCTAGTCTGTCCTCTATTCGACCGCTTCTTTATTTCTCAGGGACTGCAAGGGCATGTGCAACTGACATGAGGGCAGGTGTGGTAACCTTCGTCTAGTGCAAGTGAAGCGGCGCTTCCTCCGGGAAGTAATCGGCCTCTCGCTTCTCTCTCCCCCTAACCCCACACCTTAAGTTGAGGACCACGCAGGACGTGGTACCTCTCGTTCCATTGCTCCTGGGTGCTTTTCTGCACAGCTGGAGGATGGTCCACCGCTCTTGGGTGTCTTTTGCTACACAGCTGGAGGGTGGAATACCCTAATCCTGCTACTGGCCTTGGACCCTGCTCGGGTAGCCGGGCAGTAGTCACTCCGTTCCTGGGTCTTTGGTGACAGCTGGAAGGAGTGTCCTCACCCTATTCTCACCACCCTAATTACAACATACAACCACATGTGCAACACATTGGTCAGAAGCTGCTAGCCCTGGACCCCTTCGAGGGTAGCTGGGTAGCAGTTTTCTCCATTAACCCTCATTACTGTTGCTTTTGGGGGCCGTCGCGCCCAGCTGAGGAACAGTCCCCGGCTGGATCTGGGCCCTTGCAAGGGCAGCTGATCAGCCTTCCTTCCCCTCTGTCGCTTCTGGGGGCTTGCGTGCCCAGCTGAAGGACAGTCCTGAACCCTAAATTTTACGCCTCGCCACATCTTGGACTACCACAACATTACTACATTCTGGACTACATCGACAAGCTTTGCAAGCGGGCATTGCAGCCCACAGGGTTTTGTGGTTTAGTTTGGGTTCGTTTAGATCTTGGAGCCCTGGCGCGGCTTTATTCCACTGCACACAGCCGCCCCAAGCTGGGGCTGTGTGTGTGTGAACCTCCCTAGCACATGGGAGCAGAGGGTCACTCCTTTCCGTTGGATCTGACACATTCTTGCAATACATTTTCACTTAAACACATGAAAGTTTGCAGGGGACCACCGAGGCCTCCGGGGAGCGGTGGTCAACGAAGACCTTCCCGGAAAGCCTGTGAAAACGTACCTGCTTTTGCCACCTTCATTGCACCTGGGGCGGTCGTGCCAGCTGGTGGATGAGGAGTGGAAAGACAACGAGGACGAGGACAACGACGACGAACTTTTCATATGCACACCACAAGCATACCTGCGCAACTTTCGGCAGCCCCCTGTGGTGCCAAGATTAGCTCAAGGACAGGCCCCCTGTGGTGTCCAGATTAGACAACAACATACAACATACTCTCCTCTTCTTGCTCTCTTGGCCGAATCCATCAGTGTGAACCTCCCTAGCACATGGGAGCAGAGGGTCACTCCTTTCCGTTGGATCTGACACATTCTTGCAATACATTTTCACTTAAACACATGAAAGTTTGCAGGGGACCACCGAGGCCTCCGGGGAGCGGTGGTCAACGAAGACCTTCCCGGAAAGCCTGTGAAAACGTACCTGCTTTTGCCACCTTCATTGCACCTGGGGCGGTCGTGCCAGCTGGTGGATGAGGAGTGGAAAGACAACGAGGACGAGGACAACGACGACGAACTTTTCATATGCACACCACAAGCATACCTGCGCAACTTTCGGCAGCCCCCTGTGGTGCCAAGATTAGCTCAAGGACAGGCCCCCTGTGGTGTCCAGATTAGACAACAACATACAACATACTCTCCTCTTCTTGCTCTCTTGGCCGAATCTATCAGTGTGACCAGCGTGGGTCTTGAGACTCCAGAGCAACGGCTTTCCGTCATGGCGCCGTGGTGACCCTCCGGGGAGACCGGTGATGAACCGGGTGTTCAGCCTTCGTTCAGACTGTTCAGAATCTCCCGATGCTACTTTATCTCTCTCTCTCTGATGCCGGCATGTGAGTCTGACATGAGTGCAGGTGCAGTAATGGACGGCTAATGCAGTAAAGTGCGTCTAGTGAGCAGGTGCTACCTCGCTAGTCTGTCCTCTATTCGACCGCTTCTTTATTTCTCAGGGACTGCAAGGGCATGTGCAACTGACATGAGGGCAGGTGTGGTAACCTTCGTCTAGTGCAAGTGAAGCGGCGCTTCCTCCGGGAAGTAATCGGCCTCTCGCTTCTCTCTCCCCCTAACCCCACACCTTAAGTTGAGGACCACGCAGGACGTGGTACCTCTCGTTCCATTGCTCCTGGGTGCTTTTCTGCACAGCTGGAGGATGGTCCACCGCTCTTGGGTGTCTTTTGCTACACAGCTGGAGGGTGGAATATCCTAATCTTGCTACTGGCCTTGGACCCTGCTCGGGTAGCCGGGCAGTAGTCACTCCGTTCCTGGGTCTTTGGTGACAGCTGGAAGGAGTGTCCTCACCCTATTCTCACCACCCTAATTACAACATACAACCACATGTGCAACACATTGGTCAGAAGCTGCTAGCCCTGGACCCCTTCGAGGGTAGCTGGGTAGCAGTTTTCTCCATTAACCCTCATTACTGTTGCTTTTGGGGGCCGTCGCGCCCAGCTGAGGAACAGTCCCCGGCTGGATCTGGGCCCTTGCAAGGGCAGCTGATCAGCCTTCCTTCCCCTCTGTCGCTTCTGGGGGCTTGCGTGCCCAGCTGAAGGACAGTCCTGAACCCTAAATTTTACGCCTCGCCACATCTTGGACTACCACAACATTACTACATTCTGGACTACATCGACAAGCTTTGCAAGCGGGCATTGCAGCCCACAGGGTTTTGTGGTTTAGTTTGGGTTCGTTTAGATCTTGGAGCCCTGGCGCGGCTTTATTCCACTGCACACAGCCGCCCCAAGCTGGGGCTGTGTGTGTGTGAACCTCCCTAGCACATGGGAGCAGAGGGTCACTCCTTTCCGTTGGATCTGACACATTCTTGCAATACATTTTCACTTAAACACATGAAAGTTTGCAGGGGACCACCGAGGCCTCCGGGGAGCGGTGGTCAACGAAGACCTTCCCGGAAAGCCTGTGAAAACGTACCTGCTTTTGCCACCTTCATTGCACCTGGGGCGGTCGTGCCAGCTGGTGGATGAGGAGTGGAAAGACAACGAGGACGAGGACAACGACGACGAACTTTTCATATGCACACCACAAGCATACCTGCGCAACTTTCGGCAGCCCCCTGTGGTGCCAAGATTAGCTCAAGGACAGGCCCCCTGTGGTGTCCAGATTAGACAACAACATACAACATACTCTCCTCTTCTTGCTCTCTTGGCCGAATCCATCAGTGTGCGTCTGTGTACACACCTCGATTCTAAGCTAGAGGTCCTTGGAATTTTCCGCAGGGGGCACAGGCCCATGGTGGTACCTGTGCCAACGAAGCTATCCACCATGGGGGAAGCGGAGTCTGATCAACTCCGTACACCTGCATTTTGACTGTATGGCATCAGGCTAAGCCGAAAACCTGATAGTTTCGTGAAGCTGCTTTGCTCGAGAGTGTGAATTCTGTCAGGATACAGCACGAAGGTTACATCGCTTAGGTTTCCATCGTCTTCAAGTGACCAATTGTCCATCAGTGGCGGAAGCCGATATACAACTCATCAACCATTCTCCGTGTGTCGTGTGTGGGCCTTGTTGCCAGTCGACACGCCCGGATTGGGCAGCGTCAGTTTCCAGTTTCAGCTGGGAATACCCAAGTAACCGGTGCGGTCAGACCGCGTCGAGCAAACCAGAGCACCAGGTTGTGGCCTCCTCTCTCTCTAGGTGCGGCCGAAGAGCTTACCATAGCAAACCGGACAAGTATCGGACTTGTGGTCCAATCATCAGGGTGACGCCCTTTTCATTTGTGGCCCTATGCAGCCTTCAGTGACCGAGAGTCTGATAGTGCATGGGAGTATAGATTCCCCTTTCTGGCAACATGGCTGCAGTGATTTGCTTTTGGTCTGAGGTCTGAGGTGCGGTAGGTTTTAGGTGTGAAGCAGGTGCGGCAGGTCTGAGGTCTGAGGCGCGGTAGGTTTTAGGTGTGAGGCAGGCGCGATAGGTCTTAGGTCTGAGGTGCAGTAAGTCTGAGGTCTGAGGCAGGCGCGGTAGGTCCGAGGTCTGAGGTACGGTATGTCTGAAGTGCGGTAGGTCTGAGGTCTGAGGTGCGGTAGGTCTGAGGTCATGTTCGTCCCTCGTTCCAAGGCGCCTGATGTCCGCGCTGGCCCATTCCGTATCTTTTGCTTTATGCCTATGATTCAGACCACCTACGTCTTCCAACACACAGTGACGAGTCTGTGAACGAGATTCAGAACATCTTCACGCAAATTCCCTTGCAGATCTTGAGAGACGTGAGAGACTGCACATTGACCCACACAGCATTTTGCTCTCGTTTCGCCATGCTGGTCCTGCAATGTCGCCCGAGGCAGCCAGTATCAGATTACAGGCAATCCGTCCGGGAAGGCCACTGCGTCTGCGGCTGACGGGTGGTGTTCACACAGCCCTGCCAGCATGGCGGTACGGCGTTCAATGAGCCAGGTCTCTTCCAACAGCACGAAATCCAATTCATGGCCGCCGGGTGCGCAAAAGAGCTGCAAGATATCCATGGGATCTGAAGCTATAGGCATCCCCTTCGGGTTTAGGGAAGTGTTGATTAACACCCCCACTTTGTGAGGAATTTCACCCCGTCCGGAATCCTGAAACTTCTGGGCCATTTCCTGTCGTACTTCGGCCAACAAGGAATGCATCCAAGGATCATCCACTTCATCTACACTTTGAGGCCGAGCTGTTCCGTCCAAGTGGGTGATGCCTGGCAACCACTTCTCGACCCATTTCTGCAAGGGAGGCGCGAAGCTCATGTAGGGAATGCCATGGACCAAATCAGGTCCTGGCTGGAAAAGCAACTCTAAATCTTCCCTGGCCACGATGGGAGCGCATGGCCGGTACCATTTCCGGTGCTTCAGCCGGTTCCTGAGGCAATGCACACATGCTGGTTGTTGAGGGCAGGTCAGCAGGACAAACCAAACAAAAACATGTGTTGATTGCTTCATGCAAATCTTCACAAACCTACTGTTTTATCCTTTCATCGATTTTGGCCCCAACCATGTGGATCACCAAGCTTCAGCCTTGCTTTCAGCTCTCCCTTATGCGCAGCTGCCAAGAAGGATCGGTGTCCCAGTGCCCTCGGGCCAAACTCCGCTCCACCACGTGCCACGGCCACAATGGCTTCGCTGCGTATCAACAAGCCCGCCAGCAATTCGAATCCATAAATGCGCTCGCCCGCATAACGTTGGGCCAATGCCTC